TTCTCTATTATGTACTCTATTATGTACTCTATTATGTACTCTATTATGTACTCTATTATGTTCTCTATTATGTTCTCTATTATGTTCTCTATTATGTACTCTATTATGTACTCTATTATGTACTCTATTATGTACTCTATTATGTTCTCTATTATGTACTCTATTATGTTCTCTATTATGTACTCTATTATGTACTCTATTATGTACTCTATTATGTTCTCTATAATGTACTCTTGCATCTATGTATCTTAAATCTGACAGCGGCCGACATTCACATCGGTCTGGTGGTGTACCGTAAGGTAATACTTGTGCGAGTTATACGTAAGATATGTATCGGGATAGCTTATGATATGATATCATACAGTATCATCAAACGAAGGCATCTGCACCGATGCGCGATTATTGGGCTCGTTGCATGACGTCATAAATATTCACATTGTTAACGATGAGCAGCCTGCTCACATTATTAATTTTTGATGAATATTAGACCTTTCCGATCGAGCATAGGTATAGCATTGTCGTGAGCGCGCATGCAGTAGATACAGACGGGGCTAGTTAAACGACGTCAGGCCAGTCTAGGTTCTCGTGATAATTATTCGAAAGTCGACTTTCAAAGAAGGGAATGTTTTCGTATACGATAATTATGATGTTTGTATAATTAAACAAAATCAATCATGGCTACTCTGCATAGCTAGTAGTTTTTCTTAACGTTGTCTGATTTCACAGCAAATTTATGTAGTGTAGGTTGATCAAATGCGCGCCATGTACAATGGCGATCTTATCAACGTTGATTAATTAAGTCCGATGCGGCCTGCTTGCGCGCCATTAACATTTGCATATTATTATTATTTTAAAGCTACCCGATGACGTTTAAAATTTGCTTCCGGGGGATTTAGCCGAACGGCCATTATGCATCCGACAGCGCAAGCATTCATTTCCTTCAGAGGGAAAAGGTCAGTCCTTATCCCACATTCACGTATGGTCGTCACTCGTCAATTGGTATTTACCTGAAGTCTTTGTAATAACACATATGACGCCGCGAGCACGCGCGCACTAATGGAACTACGCAAAAAGCATTTTATACGCAATGATCGATTTATAATAGTACTTAGAGCATTTGTTCCTCACAACTAGTGTATTCTAAAAATAACGGCACATACCGGATATTCCTCCATGCATGATTTAAATATTTCGTGGGGACTTCATAAACCGAAGTTATAGCCATAGTAATGGACTAGAAGTGAGTGTAAACCACTCTTGCATCGGGATTGCTGTCACATACATACAGATTCACCGTTAACTATTAAACTTGGATTTGGGAAATTAATATATAATTCTGCAATGTCCCAGCACACTAGAGCATGACGTTCAACCCTTAATAGTGAATATAGAAACGTTAATATCGAAAAGCGTTATCTAGATCACTCTCCTGCTGATATTCGACGCGCAAAAATAAATGGAATAAAATGTGCTGTTTGAATTTTTTACAGAATAAATTTATATATAACAGAATGTATATCAACAGCTATCTGTGTGTAGCAAATGAAGCAGCGGATGAAGGTCGACATTAAATTGGTAATGGCGGCCAACACAAGCCCCTGCGGACGCTCTATCGACCGATGCAACTAACGAAGTAAGGGGTCAGAATAGATTTACAGATTCGCTTTAATACGGAATCGCCATTTCTCACGCCGCCCTTGGATGCGCTATTATCTATATCAGGAGTAGATAATAGGGACTAGGATCTATTATCTACTCCTGATCTATATTCGTCATACGGCATATTTAAAAAAAAGTGCGTTATCTTTTCCGACCGCGTGTTCTACATGTGCAATAACATTCAGTGCGCAAAAGGTTTCCTGTGCAATCGATGGCGTGTGCAGTCAGACTATGAAGATGCCGATGTCGACGCGATACTCGACACTATCTTCTCACAAAGCTATAGCCAAAAAATTCCCAGCTGAAATTCTTTGGTACAAGGCCCTATATACGCACATCTAGTTGACGAGTGCTTTAGCACGAGAATCATACGCGCGCGCGAGAGAGATAGAGAGGGAGAGAGAGAGGGAGGGAGAGAGAGAGGGAGGGAGAGAGAGCGGAGAGAGAGAGGGAGAGAGAGAGCGGAGAGAGAGAAAGCGCGCGCGGAGAGAGGGAAAGCGCGCGAGCTGGCATTAGGAACCGTAGTTTCATCAAAGCGTATGTGTATAACGGTGTGAACACTCATGCATGCACGCACGCACGCACATACAACTCTGTAATCGAGTTCATTTTGTTTCGCCGCATCCTACAAATGTCAGCATGAAATAATAATAACTGTCGCCATGCGTGCCGGCTGTCGTATAGACCTGCGGCGCGTGCACACACCAGCGGCGAAGCGGCTAGCGCGACACGCGAGTTCGTATTTCGCTATGCGATATACATATGGGAAGCGGAGACGGTGACGCGGGGAATGAAGAACAATGATATGCATAAAGGAAGCGGAGATGATGGATGAGAAGCAGTGCATAGGTAGATGAAATGGAAAATGTGGTGGAGGAAGATATATATACGAAGGAGAAGCGGCGTAGGAATATGGGAGAGGTGCTATGCGTAGAGAAAGCGCAAAATGCGGCAGGGAAGCAATGTATACGAAGAGAAGAAGGAGAAAGTAGTTGGTGTGCAATGCTATACGTAAACGATCAGGATTCAAATTTGGTGAAGAGGCATGCTACTTGTGAAATAGCCGCGTAAGTAGCAGGAGAGTGATGTTATACGCGGTGAAGGAGGGAAATACGCGGGAGATGTTTTGTAGAAGAAGAGGAGAAGTGATGGTAGCGCGCAGAGGAAGAGGCGGATGCCGTTGTGCAATAAGCGAGCGGCGATGAGACAAGCAATAGATGTAAAGAACGTGGTACTGGAGCGAAAACACATATGGATGAGAACACGAATCTCGTGAACCAGCACTACTATACGAAGGAGACGCCGCTAGCAAATTAACGTGGAACATGACAACGGCAGCGACACTGACGACGACGAGCGAAACGATGGCGATGACGTTTACGATGATGACGATGACGTTGCGGCGCGCTCCTCGTACATCACTCTATCGCTACGGAGATTTCATTGATGCGAAGACATAGCAACACTGTACACGCGAGCACGTAACAGATACGTACGCTGATGATGATGTTCAAGCGCGCGCTGCCTTCCAAAAACGGAGTTTATTGACTCCGCGGTGATATGAAGCGACTACTAGCTATAGCGTCCATCTATAGCATCTGTGCCTATTCCCAAAACATACACGTGTTGGTCGGCGTTCGCACTGCGATAACCACACCGATCATGAACTGCGCGTTGCATATATATAACGCGTTAATCGCGCATGTAGTTATAATTCGCGCTTAATAGTCTACATCGAATTATAACACGAGTATAGTGGAACGATAAATTCGCTTCATTATACTGTTACTTCTATTAACTATAACATAATTAGCCATTTATAATCGCAGCACAATGTCTAAAAGATTTAATCAACGCCGTTCTCACCGTAATTGCTTAAGTGCATTAAATATTAAACTCTGAAAGGTAAATGATGTTTGCTCCGATACGTGCCGCCGCCACAATCAATTCGCTAATCACACACGGTCACGGCTATACGTATGCTATATAACACTTACTACCACTGTGTGAACCTATGACACTTACCTGGACATTCTCGCCATGATCTGGCTCGCTGCACCAAATCTCTGTGTAAAACGCCGGCCTGTACTCGTACCGTCTGTCGTTGAGAAATCTAAATTTCTTCCTTACATCACATAAATGCACGTAATTGAGCCGCATCTGTCTTTTGACTCGGTTCGCACGTGCTGGCTCGTCGTGTTCAGTGAGATTAACTACGGGTAGACTGTCTATGGAGTGTTGGCTGTTCAGCGGAATATCCAGTGTCTGGAAGTCCGAGCCATCATCGTCGGAGATCTCCGTGTCGGGATCGACGGAGTGCTGCGGCGTCGCCATCGTCGGCGCCGCGTCGGACCGTAATGCCGGGTGGGCCATGCTGCAGTGGACGACCGCGCATAGCAGCAGCAGAGAGAGCTGCAGAAGAGAGAGAACAAGCACGTTCAAACTGTTCATGTTAGGGTCCCTTCATGGACTGCGACAGACGCGCGCGTCGGTGCGGCTGGCGGAGTAGGTAGCGCGTAGTGCAGCACGCAGCAGACGGGATAGCTATGACGTCGTCGCCGCCGCGGACATATGCATGCTACACCGCACACTAGCGCGCTCGTGCGAGATGATGTGGCACGCTGGCGCGAGATAGAGCATAGTTCCGCATCCACACCAATTTTATATCTCAATTAAACTCGTGCACAATGCATTCATCTATCGCTGGGACAACGTGTTGTGCACGAGTAGTGCGCACGTCATCACTCGCGGGGCCTGTGACATTTCATCGACTCGCGTTGCACGCTGCATCCCTGCGCAGGTGACGACACATCCGTCTCGCTGCCGCGGGCATCATCACTAGCGCGGCTCATTCTGCCTCGGCTTGATTGGCTGAGGCAGACCAAGTGGCAGTCGCGCCGAGCACCGCCTGCGACCGGCTGCTGGTGGTGTGTCTGCGGCTCGCGGAAAGGTGTGTAAACAGCTTTTGGAGAGGTTCAAACAGCCGTTTAGGCCGTAACGCCTGTTATTGCGGGGGTTGTAATATAATGCGTGCTTAGCACTGATGAAGAGTGTTGCGGGCTCATATACGACGCGATTGTGAAATCTAATGAATAAAATCATCAATCCGATCACATTCGCGTATGGAGCAGATTTTACGACTGATGGCGTTTGCATGCATGACTTTGAAAACACCCTAAATAGCGGTAACATTAACAACAACAATCACAACAGAAAGAGTGTCGTCGTCATCGTCATCATCATCACCATCATTATTATCATCATCATCAACATCATCATCATCATCATAACCATCATCATCATCATCATCATAACCGTCATCATCATCATCATCATCATCATCATCATAACCATCATCATCATCATCATCATCATCATCATCATCATCATAACCATCATCATCATCATCATCATCATTATCATAGTAATTATCAGAATGCAGAGAATAAAAACAAGTATACAAGAACAAAAATAGGACTAGGAAGAAGAACAAGAGCAAGATAAAGTGCAAAAACAAGAACAAGACCAAGAACACGAATAAGGACAAGAACAAGGACAATTGGATGGATGTATAGATGGATGGATAAATCGATGGGTGTGTCAACGCAGAGATAGAGAGATTGTCTTCAATAAGCAATGATCTTATTCGTAACCAAACGAAATTCTCGTGATGCAATTTCTCGTTGCCCGAGGTTTTTTCACCGACTTAATAATTATATGTTTGACCATAAAAAATGTACAACACTTAAAAGTCTAATTCAATGATCGATACATAAAATCTATATTTTGCACATTTAATCCAGTTATACGGCAGATTTTCTCGAAGAGAATGATCGCATAATTGTGTGTAAAACGATGCGTTCTGCGAAGATCGATTTGCAGAATGGCCCGAAGACGTGAGCAAGTGAAAAAGTCAATTTAACCCTAGACGCAGACTGTATGGTTTTTCGCGGCTGCCGGCAAAACATTAATCATTTATAGTCTTTCGTACAGCAGTGACGCTTATGAATGTTTTCATTGAATCAAACGCCACCCACGTACAGATAAATTCGCACCATTTACGGTACATGCAGCTACAAACACGTCGTAGTCGAGCAAGTCTGCAAAGTTTTCATCGCCCGTTTAGTACTCATAGTTTTATGTATTGTTTCAACCTAAGCTGTATCACACCTATAGTGTTTATATCGAGATAATGTAATAATGTATTGGACGGTGCAGGTGCGATGGAACGTTTTTCTCTAAACACAATGTACGCAAGACCACACTTAATTCCTACTACTATGCTATCTTTGCTTTCTTTTCTCTACTGATATACTATTCTCACTTTCCTATGCTTTGCAGAATGACGTACACCGCCGCTCCCATGCATCACCACACACATATGCACGAATCACCTCGATCGCGAAATTGTATTGTCGGCATCCCAGCATTCCTCGTTCTGTAACTCTCTCACAGATAAAATGATTTACACAGTGACTCTTGATATTTTCCATATCGTGATAAAAGGGTAACGCGGCACGACGATACGGTACGAGTGGATATTTGTTTGTCATTGCAATTATTGTATCGTGCGAAGAGCGGTTTTGAGTGTTTGTTAGTGCTAATAATTAGAAATCACGTGTATTATACTGAATTGCAAATGTGACAACGATGTCTTATAGCTGTCATAAAGCACTAGTACACCATTAGTTTCTGATTTTATAATCGTATTGCGCATTTCTGCTAACTTATGTGACGGGCCTATCTCTTACTAACTAACTAAAATCAAGTCGAAATGTAGAAACTTGTTCTTTACCAAATACTTCGAATATATATATATATATATATATATATATATATATACCAATACCCAATATAGTCAGCTAACATAAGTAACTTTTACTCGCCGTAACAGAAAATAATTTGTAGTTTAATCACTTCGTGCATTATGCACATTCAGTACTGCAACCTACGACGATGCCACCCACTGGTGACCAGTATGACAGCAAATGCTATATTGCTGAAATCTTACGGGAAGCGGTAAACTCATCCCCTGCTCATAAGAAGGATTTGCACCGGTGGCGTTGTATCTTGCTTGTATTATGTATGTGATCGATGCAACGCGTAAACTAGCAACCCTGTATACTTGGGTTACATCTGTATATAACTGTACCTTTATGAAATAATGGTAATCCCTACCAATTTTCTCCTGCTACTAATATCGACCATAGTCTCTCTCTCTCTCTCTCTCTCTCTTTCTCTCTCGTGGAGTGTTGGCAGGCAAGCTCGGGCGCGCCGCCGCGAGGTCGCTAACAATCACGCAATTACTTCGGGAGAGACTCCCGCCAATGTTCCCCTGAGTCATGCCGCCCTGGCGGGCGCTTCTTTCCCCAGCAACATGCACGGCGACGATCAGAGAACGAGTGGCCGCGCCGTGACGTCATGGCTGAACAAGTGAGCACGGATGCGGAATTATCCGGACACTCTCTCCCGGGCCGTAAATTGCGTTGCCTACGTCAGAACGAAAACGAGACAAACGGAGCTGTTCCATCGCTCTGATCAAATAAACTGCCACGGCGGGAATAGCGCGGCCGTCAGACCGAAAGGTATAGGTGACGGGGGGCTTGCAGGCAGAAATGCCCTGACGTGTGAACACCCCCCCCCACGATACCCGAACTTTACGTTTTCCCGTACGTGCAGCGTCTGGAAATGAACGAGTTCACCTCGGGATTCGCGTGCGAATAATTCCAGCGGATATCATTCCAAAACGCTGCGCGCATGAGAATTCTGATTAACGCGCTTCAAGCGCTAGCGCTCTGCTGTATATTAAGTTAAAAGAGCCAGAATTTTATGAAATCTTATGTAATACGCGTTGAGCATCTCGAAAAATGTTGGTAGCTATATATATATATATATAGAGAGAGAGATTGCATTCGGAACATGTTTGAAGCTCGTGAATTCAGATGCACGGCAATTCAGACAGTTCTGCATAAGGGCGAAAATCGCGGGTCACCTTCCCCCCATTACTCGTCGGGTTTTCTTAGCCTTGGTTTCATCCTAGTGCTTCACGCACACATACACGACGCATTACCATAATTGCCAGTTACCACGCTGAGCTTCCCAATGACTGCAGGAGGAAGAAGAATGAATGCTAGCCTTATACTAGCTACACCGGTGGTCTGTGTACGCCAATCAATGAAAGCTCTCTCTCTCTCTCTCTTTCTCTCTCTCTCTCTCTCTCTCTCTCTCTCTCTCTCTCTCTCTCTCTCTCTCTCTCTCTCTCTCTCTCTCTCTCTCTCTGAAAATGCTCTTTCGGTGGTTAGTTACGTTGTTCTGTTGTTGTTCTCGTTTCTGTTCTGTTGTTCTATTATGTTTGTTTCCTGTTACATATTTCTTGAATAAAAAAATACTGCAGTATTGTATTATGTTCACGCTTGCGTGCGTGCGTACGTGCGTGCGTGTGTGTATCTCTGCGTGGTATACATACTGCAGACACAGATTTACTATGCGTACGTTGGGCCAGTAAAAGAAAGGAGCCAGTAACATGTATTCTGCAGCCCCCACACTGTAAATTTAGATCCCGCAATTAATTAGCAACACACATTAAAACAGGAAATTGCGCGCCGTATAAAAACGCACGTATTGATGGTCAGAGGCTAATACTGCGGCATACGTGTACGCTGCATCATTAGTGGCGTGGTAAATTTTCCGTATGTTCTCCGCGATATTTTCATAATCTCATATCATGGCAGTCGCCATCCAGTAATTTATTCCGCTGCTCCCAGTAGCTAATGATTATACACTCCCGTATATTGTCACACATCCGTTCGCGAAGGACTAAGAAAACACTAATTATGACTTGCAAAAACGCAATAAACAAGAGTCTTCGCATTAGCCTCATAACATGCATGTTATAAAGCACGCTCTCAAGAGGAATCGTCCCTGCATGGCGGCCATGATTCGAAACTACCGATTACTTCTTTTTTAGACTAAGATCGCCATTATACTGCCTTCAAATCATAGCGACCCCCTGCGGAAGGTCTACTATTACATGAACCCGGGGTTGTTTGATGAAAGAACTTCATTATCTGCATGAATTTCGCAAGATAAAATTCAAGTGTACGAGTAATCGTACTTATTGCTCGTATGAATGGAATATACCAGGGATTAGCTAGCTCGACCATTTGAAAAAAAAGTCTGGTTGAAATTGTAGGACTTTAGGTCACTAACACGACAATGGTGCCGCGGCCATTTTTATGTCTATAGTGTTTCTGGTAAGATGTAAGCGCTAACATTTCTCAGTTCAGAAATATACCAAGCTTACTATATCTTACGTTCTGCATGTCACATAACGTATTTATCTCATGTGTTCATGAAAGTTTACATCATGTAATATAAAATGCATTACGACAGCAAGTGACGTCAACGTTGTTAGTAGACGTGCAGTGATAGCAGCAGCATAATGCATATTAATTAACAATACAAACAAGGAAAAATAATAATTAAAACTGATTATTAGACAGGCACACTGCAATTACTGACCCACGGCTCTGATGAAAGTTGAAAGACTAAAATCAACAAAGATCAAG